TCCACTACCTTGATCTCCCAATCAAGGATTTTCAACCCAACTTCACTAAACCAATAGAATTGATAGCTTCCACCAAGCTTTTACAAGGTGAGTTTCTAAACTAAGCTTAAAACCTTTACAAGATTCCCTAAGCTTTCTTAACTTAGTCTACCCCTTGGAATGGCTCTCACACTCTAAGTAAACAAAAAATAGAGAAAAAATGAAGTATAATTGATCACTTAGTAGATCTAAGATGTACAAAATTAAGCTCAAACATTTTTTCAAAGGATGGGAGTGAAATACAAGTGTAAAGAGTAGGTTTTTGATCTTTTAAGCACAAAATCACTTTAGATAGCTTTTCTCTATGATTTTTGATTGTTGGAGAGGCTTTGAATACTTAAGAGACTGATTCTAGCCGTTAGAGATAGTTTTTAGTCATTACTAGCCGTTATATTTTCTTATAGTAGCTCTTTTCAAATAGGTAGATTGTGTTCCATTAACTAGTTACAGGTAGCTCCAACTGATTACAACTTCTCTGCCTTGCACTGTCTTGTAACTATGTTCGCTATGCTAATCAATTAGAAGAAACTCCAACTTATTACAAACTTTATGTTTTCATCTTTCTCTACATAGCAGTATTCCTTTAATTGGTTAGCTTTTCCTTTAACTGGTTAAGGCTTCACTTCCTTCAACCTTAACTGATTAAAATAAGCTTTAATCAATTAGAAAATCTGCGAATTTTGGACTTCTCCATTTTGTCTCCTTTCAACGATCAACCTTCTTTCAACTTTGGATTTTGGCGCTCGAACGTACTAAAGTCTTGAGCTTTAACCAATTATCCCAATTCCTTAACCAATTAACATGCCTTTGTTTTTATCTTCTATTACCTTCTTAATCAGTTAAGCCTTGTGCTAACTAATGAAGGCTTTACTGTCTTGCTTTTGTATAGTGCCCATCTTTGCCTTAACTGATTAAGGCTTCACGCTAATTAGTTAATGATGTTTTGTTTTCACTAAGGCCTTTTTTTTTTTGCCTCTTTAGCTGATTAACCCATATTCTAAGTGAGTAAGCTTTTTGACTTGCTTTCAAACAACAATTGGCATAAAGAATTTAAGCTTTCTCCTGCACACTTAAAGAATATGATTAGACACCAATGAATGAGAATGTTTTGTTATCATCAAAAACACATGGAGTCAATATTCTTTCTTTTATTTTTAATGATGACAAAATACTTCTAGATAAAGAGTGCAATGTGTATGTTCAATATGAATGCTTTAAATCATTATGCATAATGAGGATTGCTCCCCCTTAGTTAATGCATCTAGTTTTCTTTAAA